GATGATGAGGAGGAGGATGAAGACGATGAGGAGGATGATGAAGATGAGGATGAAGATGGTAGGGAGTTCTTTCATTAGTTCTTGGGCTACTTTTGTAAGATACATTAGGGGTGAGGTTTTGGTAGTAATGCTACATGTTCCATGACAACCTGGGAGTTAGGTGAAAACCATTCCAGGGATTTTCTGGGGTGTTTGTGGTACACTAGACTTAAGTTACCCAAAATGATTGCTTGCCCGAGAAATAGCTTAAAGTGGCACGTTTTGTATTTTTCATAATGGGGGATTTTGCTTCCAATTAATCTGTTAATCCCTTCCATAATTTGCTAAGCACAGTGGTATTGATAGGATTATATTTTCCTTAGATTTTCCTAGAACTAACACTGTTTTTGGTAGAATTCTCTTGAGTTTTTGACTAAGTTGCATCACTTTCAGACTCTGAAGAAGAAGCTATGGAGACTACACCAGCCAAAGGGAAGAAAGCCCCTGCAAAAGCTGTTCCTGTGAAGGCCAAGAGCACAGCTGAGGACGAAGATGAAGAGGATGATGATGAGGATGAAGATGAGGAGGAGGAGGATGAGGAAGATGAGGATGATGATGAGGAAGAAGATGAGGAGGAGGAGGATGAGGAAGAAGAGGAAGGTAATCAAGTTAGATTTTGAAGTACACTGCTAAAGATTTTATTTAAAGGAGACACTTCAAGGGGCGCCTGGCTGGCTCAGTTGGTAGAGCATGCAACTCTTGATTGTGAGGTCATGAGTTTGAGCCACATGTTTGGGTACAGAGGTAACTTAAAAAGGGTGGGGGGAGGCACTTCGTTATGTGTGGCTACTCACTGGTAACCAGATTGTTTGAAATCTTGTTCAGAGCCTGTTAAAGAAGCACCTGGAAAACGAAAGAAGGAAATGGCCAAACAGAAAGCAGCTCCAGAAGCCAAGAAGCAGAAAGTAGAAGGTAACAGGAATGGGGAGGATTGGGGAGGGTTAGGATGCCTGATAGCACAAGTGATGAACAACAAAGGGACTTAATACTGAAACCTGATGTGATATTGTGATGTCTGATGTGCTCTGTGTAGAAATGGCATAGTGGAAGTTTAAGTTTATGCCGTACTTTACAAGTAGACTAATTTGAATTTATATTTTGCACAGCTACAGAACCAACTACATCATTCAATCTTTTTGTTGGAAACCTGAACTTCAGCAAATCTGCTCCTGAATTAAAAACGGGCATCAGTGACCTTTTTGCTAAAAATGATCTTGCTGTTGTGGATGTCAGAATTGGTGTGTCTAGGTGAGTATGAGGGAGTTCTGCACATTACTTCTAGGTTTGCAAGTCTTCAAATATTAGACATTAATGAATTAAGTTACTAGATTATCAAAATCTAAAATCCCAGATTGAAGTTTCCAAAATTTTTAAGTTTTGTTATATTACTAAATTTTTAGTAAGTTACGAGATTTGATGCTTGTGTTTGTAGAACCATCTAAAAATAACTGGATTTGGGGCCCCTGAGTGGCTCAGTCGTTGAGTGTCTGTCTTTGGCTCAGGTCATGGTCCCAGGGTCCTGGAATCGAGCCCTGCATCAGGCTCCCTGCTTGGCGGGGAGCCTGCTTCTCCCTCCCCCACTCCTCCTGCTTGTGTTCCCTCTCTCGCTCTGTCTCTTTCTGTCAAATAAAATTTTTAAAAATATGTATACGTATAAGAGTACTGGATTTGAAAAGCTGTAATAGTTAATGCTTTTAGATAGGATTTTCTTAGTGCTTAAAACAGGTTCTTTTGTCAGTTAATATCAATTGTTATGAGCAGTATGGCTAATAAGACCTCAAAGGTAAACTCGCATCAGTATTTATTATACCTGACGCTGTAGTAGCAACAGTTTATAGAGCCTTGATTTCTGTTAATACTGTAAGTGTTTTTTTACTTAATCCTTGTTTGCATCCTCACATTAGTGTTACTGCTTGCCCAGTATGTGGTCTGTAGTTGTGTTTTTGTGGGGTTTTCCCCCCACTCATAATTTTGCTTTTTTCATCTTACCGCCTTAAAGGAAGTTTGGCTATGTGGATTTTGAATCTGCTGAAGACCTGGAAAAAGCCTTGGAACTCACTGGTTTAAAAGTCTTTGGCAATGAAATTAAACTAGAAAAACCAAAGGGAAAAGACAGTAAGAAAGGTATGTAAGGCTTTAGGTAATTGTGATCGTGCTCTCTAACTTGTTAATGGATATGTATCTAGCTGGAGCTGAGTGGCCAGACTAAATAGTTTCGCTTTTTTCCTTTGGGTTTTCTTATAATGTGAGGATTAAATGAGTTCAACTGTTAAATCCATTGCTTGCTGGTGATAAAAATTCTCAAGTCAGGTAAGCAAGAAGAGACTTCATTAAAAAAAGAATTGGTTAATATAGAGAGGTCTTTCCTCACTGGAACTAGATTAGGTCCCAGCTATTCTCTTTGTATCCTTTACTTTCTCTCTGTTCACTTGCTGTGTTTCAAAATGTATGTTGATAATTTTTTAATTCAAAAAATATTGAGCACCTATTTTAGTTTGAGCTCCGTTCTAAGTATTCAACACAAAGTTTGATTTCAGTTACGACAGCAGCTTGTGTTTTTCCACTGCTGCATCTCCATATAGCAGAGTGCCTTATATATTGTAGGATCTCAAATTATTTGAACAGAACTTTTCCATTACTTGATCTTCGTGGGTGAGGAGAGTGTCTTTTAGGCCATGTTTCCAGTTTTGTCTTTTTTATCTAGATCGGGATGCAAGAACACTTTTGGCTAAAAATCTGCCTTACAAAGTTACTCAGGATGAATTAAAAGAAGTATTTGAAGATGCTGCGGAGATCAGATTAGTCAGCAAGGATGGAAAGAGTAAAGGGTATGTTTTGTGTCTATGGAATGTTGAGTTTTATTTAAATTAATGCATTTCCCTGATTTCATAAAAAATTTTGATCTCACTTTCAAGGTGTGTGATACTGGGCAAATTAACCCTTAATCAGTGCCTCCGTTTCCTGTCTGTACAGTGGAGATAATAGACTTAATCCATAGTGTGATTTTAAAAGGCGAGCTGATATGTATAAAGTATTGTGCAATGTGCCGAGCTTTGTAAGTAATAGTTATGCAGTGACGTGGGGAGACCAGGAACAAATGTTCTAGGTGTACTTGGCAACCTTGTGTAGTATGGGAGGAAAGTTTTAATTGAAAAGCGGAAGATGGCAGAAAACTAGAACATTTCAGTTTGTTTGAAACAAAAGAACGTTTTTATTGTACTCATTTCAAACAAGTTTCTGTTGCTGAGATTAAAACATTTGCGTTAGAAGAATATGTTTTTCCCCCCCACTGTTTTGCAGGATTGCTTATATTGAATTTAAGACCGAAGCTGATGCAGAAAAAACCTTGGAAGAAAAGCAGGGCACAGAGATAGATGGGCGGGCTATCTCCCTG